TCGAATTCCAAATACAATACATTCGTTTGTGCTTGTGTCTCACTTCTTAATTCAATTGCGTTATTTCTGGAACTCCTAGTTCATAATACAATTCAAACATTATAGTTTGTCGCATGAATATTCAACTTCCGATAAGTAATTAGGCATCACGTGTTTTTAAAGCAAATGGCTACGACAGAGCTTCCGGATTTACTATGACCTCGTTTTATTCCCAAATTCTTAGTAAGCAATGAGCTAGTAATGTACTAAATGTCAAGTAAACTGAGTAATAAAAATATGTGTTTGTAATATTTCAGTGAATGGGAAACTAAGTTTCACATGTTTTGACTTATCTATCCGCTGATGAAGTGATCTGCACTAAGTCATGAAACACCAGAAACCTATTTTTCTATTCGTTGGGATATTACGAAATATTATTTTGATCATCGTCTATCCAAGGCTGAATCTATTTGAACTTACCAAGTCCAGCCTTGATACTGAAAACTACAAGATCGTGTATACTTTGCATCGGACCACTCTTAGGAATATAAACTTATTTATTTATTTGAACACATGGATATTGGTACAAGAGAGCGCCAATATATATGCGCCACACAAAACAATGAGAATTCGAAGAGAAATAGAAAGAAAAAAACTAAGGAGCGCAAAAGAAAAAGAGAACAATAACGAAGAGATTGGTGTAAGGTAGTGTGGTAGTAACGAGGGAACGAAAAGGTACAATCAGAAGAAATCTTTCAGGTAAGGAGACACAACCACTTTTTATGAAGAAAGTAAAAGAAGGTTACAGCAGGATCGCCACTGGCTTCTATTCTGAGCCATATCTGATAACGTCTCTAGCCACTGTGTAGCACCATCTCTCGGACCCCAACCAGGGAGTCGTGAAGGACCAACACAAGCCAGTCCTTTGCAGCTTTCTTTCATGCCACGACACCATGTCATGCACTGACCACCTCTCCGCTTCTTCCAACCAGTCCCAGAGTCGGCAAATAATGCACGACGTGGAATTCTCTGGGACGACATTCGGAGAACATGTCCAAGCCACCGAAGTCGGTGTTTCAAGATGGTGACACCAATTGAATTATCATCTCTGTGCCCGAACACACGATGCCGAACCTCTGCATTACTGACATGGTGTTGCCACTGAATGTCAGCAATCCTTCGGAGACAGCGATGATCGAACACAGAGAGTCGTCTAACGTCCTCAACTCGGAGAGGCCAGGTTTCACAAGCATAGAGCAAAACTGCTCTCACCGACGCGTTGTAGATCCGACCTTTTACAGCCAGACTAACATCACGAAGGCGCCAAAGGTGGCCCAGATTGGCATAAGCCGCTCTGGCTTTCACTATTCGTGCATTGATCTCATCACTCACACCCCCACCAGCACTTATGCAGCTACCCAGATACACGAACTTCTCGACTACGTCTATCTGCTCACCATCCAGGGTGAGTACAGGATTAGAATCCTGCCAGTCTTGTAGAAGTACTTTGCACTTCGAAGGTGCAAAGCACATACCATACCTACGGACACTGATTGCCAACTGATTAAGTGCGGATTGCATGCCTTGGGCATTATCGCACAGTAAGACAATATCGTCCGCATACTCAAGGTCGAGAAGTCTTTCTCCAGGCAACAGATCCACACCACCATTACTTACATTCATCAGAGCTGTTTCCAGAATGTCATCGATGGCAAAGTTGAAGAGGAATGGTGAGATTGGGCAACCCTGCCTAACCCCACTGCTCGAATGGAACAATGGAGAGAGGTGGTTGTATGCCCTCACTCTGCCTGAGGTGTTTTTATATAGGGCTTTTAGGATGTTAATAAACTTCTCAGGCACACCCTTCTTCAATAGACAATCCCAGAGAACAGTCCTGTCCAACGAATCGAAGGCAGCCCTGATGTCAAGAAACACTACGATTGTTGGCCTTTGATAAGTATGGCGGTGTTCTAACATTTGGCGGAGGGTGAAGATATGATCAATACATCCTCGACCAGAACGAAACCCAGCCTGCTCCTCGCGAGTCAATCTTTCTCGGGTTTTGAACAACCTACGAAGTATGACGGAAGCCAATAGCTTGGACGCAATCGGAAGTAGACTTATCCCCCGATAGTTGTTACAGGAACGACGTGAACCCTTTTTAAAGATAGGGACAACTATCGACTCATTCCATGACGTTGGTACACTCTCTAGTTCCCAAACCTTTGTAAACAACGTCGTCAATTCCTTAGTCAAAAAGTCACCACCATCTTTAAAAAGAGCCGGAGGTAAGTCATCTGGGCCAGGTGATTTGTAACGCTTCAAGAGTTGGAGTTCCTTGCGGACTTCCTCCTCGTTTGGTGGATCAGTCGTCACCGGCCATGGAGGGCAGGACAGTCTGACCGATGTTGCCGGAGCAGCAGGCCAGTTGAACTGCCCTTCGAAAAATTCTGCCCATCGTCCAAGACGTCGATGGATGTTAGTGATTGGCATCCCATCATCCTCGCAGATTGTTTCACTCACACCAGACTTCTTGCTGCCAGTGGCTCGGATGAGCTGGAAGAGCTTCCGGTAGTTACCAGATGCAGCTGCTGCTTCCAGCTCATTAGCACGCTTCGACCACCAGGCTTCTCGGTCCTTACGCAAGCTTTGCCCAATTTCCTTACGTAACATCCTTCGTTTATGGTCAAACTCACGGTCACCCGGAGTAGACCGACGGGCTTCAATGAGTTGTAAGGAACCAGAAGAAACCCAGTGCTTAAAAGCGGGACGTTTCGCAAACCCACAACTGACTGTTCCCGCCATTTTCATGGCGTCATGCAATTGCAACCAATGCTCATCTATACTTTTCGGTGGAGTGGTAGCTAGCCTAGAGGCTAGCTCGGTTCGATACTTACTTGCAACAGAAGTTGCAACCAGCTTGCTAACATCAATCCGTTGATGGCGGTCACTTCGTTGTCCACTGAAAAGTAAGGCAAGATTGGCGCAGACCAAGGCATGGTCAGAGTCCAGATAGGTACTCCAAAAGGAGCGGCAGTCTTGTACACAACCACGCCAGCGGTAGCTGATCGCGATGTGATCAATCTGAGTCCAGGCTTGAGATGCAGAGGGAGGACGCCAGGTGGCACATCGGCGATGACTGTGCCGAAAGTTAGTGCTAGCCAGAAACAGGTTGTGGTCTGTGCAAAGTTGCAGTAGACGGTCCCCGTTATCTGACCTGCGACCAACGAGTCCCCATCGGCCACCTAAACGACTCTCTTCTGTGCCTAGACGCCCGACCTGAGCATTCAAGTCTCCGGCTAGTACTACAATATCTGTCGAACGCACTTTCTGGAGAAGAACAGATAACTGGTGGTAAAACTCATCCTTGATTGCATCCGGGCTGCAATCTGTCGGGGCATAGGCGGAGATGACGAAAAGACATCGTTTCTCACGCCGATTTCTTCTCACTTTGATGGAACTTTCTAATCTAACAGCACATAACCGACTGTTAATGGGGATCCAATCGACTAGTGCTGCCTCAGCTCTAGCGCTTAGTGCGACACCAACGCCAGCAAGACCAGACGAAGATGCCACAGGGTCCCCGGATAAGCGCACGTAAAACAAGCTTTTCGAAGCGACAGATGGAGATCGAATTTGTAGTACTTCGCCAGAGTCTTGAATACGGGTCTCGGATAGACAACAAACATCGATATTAAGACTTTCCAAAGACATAGCCAGCCCTATCTGTTGTCCGACCTGCATAAATGTGCGAACGTTGAAGGCAGCCAGTTTGAATGGTGCACGTGGTTTCAGAAAAACTGCTTCAGTCTCGTATTCGGTGGTAACATACAATTTTCAACCGGACAGTGACTCGAGAACGTTTAGATACAGTCGAATTTCCACCAAAGACGAGCCGCTGTATAAGTATAAAAGAGGGTGAATAATGAGTAGTAAATAATAATAAAAATAATAGTAATAGTATTAATAATGACAATAATTGTAATGATAATAATTTGAATCAATTGATTGTTTTTCGAAGCGAGAAAAGTAAATTCCATAGACATAAAGAGTTCATCATTTGTGTGTGGGCTGTGATACTGCCCGGGTGCCCAAACCGAAGCAGGTGGTTATCTTAGGGGGCCACACCCCGAGCCTTTGACCTAAAGGTCTAACCCACAAGGCAGTGGAGCATCGTAAGGAGATGCAATCCCATGGTAGCCGGTGTATGTATATGGATTTCATCTGCTTTTGGGTTTGTTGTCGAACACAAGCAATTTTAATACAACGATATACTGTTTCTGTATGTAGTTCTAGCAGAAAATGTTGATAATCCGACTGTTTATTTCATAGGTGATCATCAACATAATATTCACGTCTTAAAATCATTCAACGTTTGATAAATAAATTGAAATAGAAATCACTGTCGATCTGAATCAGTAAGCTAACAAGCAAGTGAAACCGAGAATGCACTTAAAAAAGTTACTAAATTTGTACTGGCATTTTTCTCAAGCTTTCGGTATTTCTAATAACAATGTAATAGTATTTTGTACATTTTTTACTCATTGCTATATTTAAATTCGACTGTTTAATCTCTACTGATCTCGGAGATATTTACATGTCAGTCTTTATGATATCCTATATGATCATTCACATGATTATCAATACTCGAATTCACCATTACTATCATAAACACTAAGAGAATACTGAAACAGAATGCTGGTCACCCTTAAAATTATTAACATGCATAATAAAAACAAGTCAAATCTTTTGTCTATATTTAACAGATTACACGAAAAAAAGGAACCTAATGAAGAGAAATGCATAAATTCAATCTGAATTTAGAATTACTAGAACTGGCAAAAAATATTAAGATAATTTCGACAAGATTATAAATTGCATATATCAGCAGACGATCATTTCAAAAATGTGGACAGTAGAAAAATACTTAGTAGATGGTACGCAATATAATAGTATATACAACATAGTTTTTTTTAAATTTGATAGACAAGAAAATGATAATTCTAAAGAAATGACAAATGTTACAATTGTTGTAGATAAAATCCGACTTTTTCATAGACTCTTTTACAACCTGAAACAGAGAAGAACTTGCTCCCTTCCGGTGACCATTCAAGTTCATCCAGGACAAATTGAACCATATCTTCGGAAAATGTGACATTACGTCGCTTGGCAGCATCTTGAACACATTTTCTAACATGGGTCGGCTGTAATGGCAAGAATGGAATAACAGCTGTGATCAGATGTTTAGTAATTAGCTCAGAGTACTGAAGGCCACCTATGATAACAAAGGGAAAACAAAACACGTTACATAACTCTAAATATCAACGATAATTTATCATTTTTTCGTAAAGCAACACGATCACAATCATCATACAAAATGAAGCTAACAACGGTTCTTGTCAATGTCTAGCTATACACAACACTGAATCATTACAAGTTTATTTTAAAACGTTTTGTCTTGAGAGGAATTTTTTTGAAGTGAATGCAACCATTTTTATATCCGGTATTATTTTCAAGAAAGACAATGAATTTTCTCATTCAGTTGAAATTTCCGCGAATAATGATTAGTGTGTTTCTGAGTTCGACAGATATAAATAGTATGTATCATCAATTGAAATACCCGGTAGCAGAAGATCAAGAAAAGAAAACGAGAGCAAGGAATGACTGCTGTAAGAACGAAAGAACAATCAAGTCTGAGACGATTGATTGACACTTTTCAAATGAGTAATTTACTGTATGGTTATCAGATTTTACTAAGACATTCTGTAATTTTGTGTTCAAATACATCTGGTTGTCCCCACTTGTGTTTTTGTATACTACAAGTGGTCTTAGAAATCCAAATAATCAATCAATTATTTTGATTAAGAATAATTTGTGATTTAATTGCATAAAAACATAAATAAAACACAATTCACTCTTACAGTTCAACTGTAACATTTTCATCGTTTGAAACTTATGGTATCAAGAAATAACTAGTTTAATTTAACCATTGAAATGAGACTTTCCCTTTTTCAACCAATTAACGTACTTTAATGATCAAATGTAGATTTTTGTACTCAGCTTCAAGCCATAGGGATTCCCTTATATGAAAACTAATCGGTTATCTGAAATGAGGTAAAAAGTTGGGGGTTTTGAACTTGAAACTCAATGGTTGAAAGCTGAATACTTTACAATCATATAAATCACCGCTAATCTTCAAGAACTAAAATGTTGCTTCATTAGCAAAAACGGAACAGAAATACACTACATCAAAATTCTATGTAGTTAATTATTCCATAGAAAAATGAAAGTCAAGTTAAGAAAGATAGATAACTAAAAATCCAATACAGTTGATTTATTGTTTAACAGATTAATGAATTTTATTTACGTCTGCTTCTTCCAACGTGCACCACTTGTTACCCTTGTCTGGAAATAAATGGCCAATGTACTATGCAATAGTTCTCCCTGTACTGCTTTGTAGCTGGAAAATATGACCTATAGTATCATACTTAATTCATAGTTTTCAAATATTTGATCACAGATATCCCCAGAGTACTCTCAATTTATAGTAGCCCCAATAAGTCAGTAATACTAGGTTAACCCTAGAGTTCAAGATAAATATACCAGATCACTTAATGATGTTGTAAATCTTTATTAATTGATCTTATTGTAACATAAATAATACATCATCACTCCACCAGTTGAAAACGTAGTTTTCGAAATGTATGATGAAGTCTACTTCCAACAAATATTGTAATCTTTTAATTTGATAATCAATTGCTATTGTTATTATCCTAGTCATGTTATCCTGTACATCTATTTCGAACAGCTAGGATACAATTTATTAAAAAGAATGTTTATGTGAGCTCAATTTTCAATATATCAAGAGTTTGTTAAGCAATATCAGGTGATCGAAAATGTGATAATTAATAAATTTATCGTATTACAGCGCCACCTACACTTTACCGTACGATATTCAACACATCTCCAAATATTGATGTTGCCATTTTTAAAAAAAGTGTAATCATTCACTACTAAAATGCTTGCGCCCTTGTTGCTCTTCATGTATTGTAAATCCATTCAAATAAGATGTAAATAATAGTCTAGAATGTAATTCGTTGACCTTACATACAATTGTTTAACTCTAAACTCTAATCAAATACTTTACTTCATAACAAATAGGTACGAATTTATCTTACATATCATTACATTTTACTGTAAATACTTAATCGTACTTAAGTGTATGACTTCTACATCTTTGATTACCTGATATTGCTTAACAAACTCTTGATATATTGAAAATTGAGCTCACATAAACATTCTTTTTAATAAATTGTATCCTAGCTGTTCGAAATAGATGTACAGGATAACATGACTAGGATAATAACAATAGCAATTGATTATCAAATTAAAAGATTACAATATTTGTTGGAAGTAGACTTCATCATACATTTCGAAAACTACGTTTTCAACTGGTGGAGTGATGATGTATTATTTATGTTACAATAAGATCAATTAATAAAGATTTACAACATAATTAAGTGATCTGGTATATTTATCTTGAACTCTAGGTTAACCTAGTATTACTGACTTATTGGGGCTACTATAAATTGAGAGTACTCTGGGGATATCTGTGATCAAATATTTGAAAACTATGAATTAAGTATGATACTATAGGTCATATTTTCCAGCTACAAAGCAGTACAGGGAGAACTATTGCATAGTACATTGGCCATTTATTTCCAGACAAGGGTAACAAGTGGTGCACGTTGGAAAAAGTAGAACAAACTTTCTGTAGTCGTGCTAAGATCGCTTTGCCCAGAAGCTGATGAAACTTTCAAGAAAAGTGATTTGATAGACGTATGGAAATATTCAAATCATAAATTGGCGCAGATTTATTGGAACGCCTTCCATTCTGAAGTACAGAATTGAATTTATGAAAAATGCTACTGAGTGTATGTAATTGCGGGATTTGTATCTTGAAACTGGTGAAGTATCCCTGTTAACTTGTAGCATAATTCAGGCTTAAAATAGTTAGAAATGCATAGATGGAGAATGTACATAAACACTATTCAACGTGTTCTCTGCATTTAGGTATTTCATAGGAAGAGGTCATCATAATAGCTAAGTGGAGATGTCAGTAACCACACATAAGTTTTGTAAGTGTTGAACTATTGAAAGGACTCAAAAGAATGAACTGATCTCTTTACCAACAATAATAAGTTATCACAAACCAAATACCGCCCTGGTTTTCACTATACATAAAGTAATATCATCACTAATGCCAACACCAACATGTACACAGCTACCTAAATACAAACTTCTTGACTATTTCTAACTGCTTATTACCAAAAGTGAGTGTACGCCAGTCTTTTAAGTGTTTTGCACTTTGAAGGCGCAAAGCACATGACATACTTACAGACACTGAATGCTAAATGTATAAGTGCGGATTGCACAGCTCAAGTATCATGCACGTTTATGTGTTTGCACGTTAAGACAATACCATCGGCATACTGAAGGTCGAAAAGTCTTTCACCATGTAACAAATTCACGATACCACTACCTAATTCCATCGGAGCTGTTTCCAGAACCTTATCAATGCTATGGTTGGAGAGGAATGGTGAGATTGCCCAAACACCTCTTACCCCACCGGATGAATGAAGCACTGGAGAGAGGTGCCATGTCATTATTCTGTCTCAGGTATTTGTATATGGGGACTTCAAGATGTTAACAAGCTTTTCAGACACACCCTTCTTCAGTAAACAGTTTAAGAGAACAGCCTTGTTCAATGTGGCTCCGATTTCAAGAAACATTACGATTGTTGGTCTGTTATAAGCATAGTGGTGTACTAACGTTTGGTGGAGAAAGGAGATATGATCAATACATTCTCGACCAAGACGAAAACCAGCCTGCTCCTCGTGAGCCAATCTTCTGCGGGTTGGGAAGTGTGACGGAAACTAACAGTTTGGAAGCCGTCGGAAGTAGGTTTATCCCTCGATAGTTACTACATAGGTGACGTAAACCCTTTTTAAAGATAAGAAAGACTACCACCTTATACCAGGATATCAAAACACTCAATTCAATAACCAGAAGTTCCCCATCATTCTTAAAAGGTGCTGAGGGTAAGCTGTTTGGTTCTGGTAACTTATGAGCTTTCATGAGTTAGAGTTTCCTGAAGAACTCCGCCCCTTTAAGTGGGTCAGTCGCCACCGGCTATAGAGGACAAGGCAGTTTGATCGATGTCTCTGGGGTAACTAACCACATGATCTATTTCTCGAAGAACTGTTCAAAATCCAGGATGTCGGTAGATGTTATTGATCAGCGTACCGTCAGATCCACAGATTGTTCCACCCACATCAGACTTCCTGCCCCCGGTGGTTCGGATGGATTGGAAGATCTCCAGTTTATTCTAACTTGTCAGCACGCTCCGACTAACACAGATCTCGGTTCTTAGGCAAACTTTGCAAAACATTTTCACTTAACAATCTATGTTTGTCATCAAACGCACGGTTGGTCGGAGTATACCGACGTGCTCAACGAGTTTTAGGAGCCAGGAGAAACCGAGTGCCTACAAACGGGAGGCTTCGCGAAGCCTCAAGAGACTTTATTGGAAATTTTCACGTCATAAAAATGCAAACAGTGCTCATTTATGCTTTTTATTGTGTTGGGAGTTAGACTTGAACTTAGCTTGGTTTGATATCTAGTTGTAACGGGAGCTGCATGAATTCGTTTAGGATGATGAACTTGTTGGTCACTGAGACGTAAGATAAGATTAGCGCGAACAAGGCATGATCACAGCCTAGATAAGAACTCTAAAAGGAGCCACAGTCTTGTGCACAGCCACGCTAGCCGTAGTTGATCTCGATATGACCAATCTGACTCCAGGCTTGAGTTGTAGAGAGAGCGCCAGGTAATACACTGGCGATGACTGTGTCGATAGTGCTGACCAGAAACAGGTTGCAGTCTGTGCAGAGCTGCAGGAAACGGTAACCGTTATCCGACAAAAGAGTCCCCATTGACCACTTTGACGACTCTCCTCCGAGCACAGCCCCTTGAACTGTCCATCCGAATTTCCAGCTAGTAATACAACGTTTATCGAAGGAAATTTTGAGATCATTTGACTGGTAGTAAAGGTCATCCTTGATTGCATCCAGGTTACAATAAGTTTACTATTAAAAAGATTAACGAAAATTTAGTATTCTGAATGCTTTGCTATGAATATCTTGATGTGACATCATCAGTAAATACTAAAATACAGAATGATTAGTGAACAATGTGTTTTCAGTGGTGAAAGGATTCCTGAGGCACGAATATTTCAGTGACGGTCTTTAAATGACGGACCAACTAGACTGTAACCGTAGCTCTGAGTTGTGATAGTATAGATATCTAAAGTATTATTCATTAACTTGAAGATGTAAATAAGCCTTACTAGATCAGTGTTAACAAGCTTCCTACAGTCAGTCAGTCAGTCAGCTACAACGTAGGACCAGGCACATATATCCATCGGTCCAAGTTGCCATACCTCATTAACACAACAAGATGAACACCGGATTCATATAAGTAGTTACTTCAGAGGTGATAATATATAAAAGAAAGATTGCAATAAGGATATAGTACAGTAAGAAGGAAAGATATGAAGTCATTTTAATCTCTTAGTTTAAGAGAAGACAGAGAGTGTATACACCGACGCCATTGTGATCGATTCTGAGCCATGTCACCAAGAGTCTCCAACCATTGATTGAGATAGTCACACGGACCCCAACCAAGTAGTCTGCATCTACCAACATGGCTCAGACTAGAAGTTAGTGGCTTCAAGCACTGATGCCACGTTTTGGTTTGGCCGCCCCTAACTTTCTTCCAACCATTTCCAATACCGGATAGCATTGCACGTCGTGGTAATCGGTATTCAGGCATACGTAATACGTGGCCCAAACATCTCAGTCGATGAAGATTAACAACCTCATCAACTGATTTACCATCATTTCCTAATACCCTGCGTCTAACCTCACTATTACTTACCCGGTGATCCCAGCAATATTTCTAAGGCATCTGTGGTCAAATACTAGTAGCTTACGAGTGTCTTCTACTCTTAAAGGCCATATTTCGCTGCCGTATAGTAAAACAGAACGGACTGCCGCGCATTATACTCGTCCTTTTATTGATAGACGGATATCTCGCCTTCGCCAAAGGTGACGTAAGTTGGCAAAAGCCAAACGAGCTTTTCGAATCCGTGCTGAGATTTCGTCAGACACCAACCCATTAGGGCTGATCAGACTTCCAAGATAAGTGAAGTTGTCAACGCGTTCGACTACTTCACTCCCTATCCTTAGTTCAGGTGTTGACGCAGACCAGTCCTGAAGCAACAACTTGCATTTAGAGGGAGAGAAGCGCATTCCAAACATTCTGGCATTGTTGCTTAGTGCTACCAAAAGACTCTGCATTTTGTCAGCGTCTTCACCAAACAGGACTATGTCATCTGCGTATTCTAAGTCGATAAGTGGACCTCCTGGATGGAGATCAATACCCGAGAACTCAGTCGACGAGAAAGTTATTTCCATCAGTAGATCTATGATGAAGTTAAACAAAAATGGGGAAAGTGGACAGCCTTGACGGACACCACTTGAGGTTGCAAAGGAAGATGACAGTTCGCCATAAGCTCTGACTCGACTAGTAGTGTTCGAGTAAAGAGCCTTCACAAGGTTTATGTACTTCTGGGGTACGCCTTTCAATGACAGACACTGCCACAGAATCTCGCGGTCTACAGAGTCAAATGCTGCTTTTAAGTCGAGAAAGACCACCATTGTCGGACGCCGATAAGTATGCCTGTGTTCTAGAATCTGACGAATGGTGAATATGTGGTCGATGCAGCCACGACCAGGTCTGAAGCCAGCTTGGTTCTCTCGTGTTTGCAGTTCACGAGTCTTAGTTAGGCGTCTGATAATTATCGAGGCTAGTATTTTAGATATTATATTAGTTAAACTAATCCCTCTGTGGTTGTCACAGGATGATTTTGACCCTTTCTTATATATTGGGACGATAAGTGATTGTGACCAGTCAGATGGGATAACGTCTAACTCCCAGATCTTAGCTAAAATATTAGTCAACCTAATCGCTAAAATTGGACCACCATCCTTAAAGACCTCTGGAGCCAATCCATCTGGACCAGCTGCCCTTCCTCGTTTCAGATTAACTATAGCCTTTTGAACTTCAGCAAGAGTTGGGGGACCTACTTCAATGTTCCATTCACATTGTCTGGGAATGGAGGGTAGTTGTAGAGTAGCTGAAGGCCAGCTGAACTGTTCTCTGAAATGTTCCGCCCATCGTTCTAAACGTCTGGACTGGGAGCAGATGAGGGTATCGTCTTTTTCCGAAATAATCTCACTTACACTTGACTTATTAATTCCAGTTTCTTTTATTAGTCTGTAAAGCTGTCTTGTGTTCCCTATAGTCGCCGCCTTTTCCATCTCTTTTGCTTTCGTTGCCCACCACTGCTCACGGTCGTTTCTTAGACTTTTTCTTAACCTAGATCTGATTTGTTGTCGCTCTTCATCATGTTCGGAACCTGATGGGACGAGTTTGCGAGAATCCATCAGTGTGATAGACTTTGAAGAAATCCACTGGTTCTTTGTAACTCTGTGGTTTAAGTCGCTAATAGATGTCACTGCTGTTTCCACAGCTGATTGTATGCCCTTCCAAGCAACATCTGGGTCAGCCTCGTTTTCAACTACCTAAGTGTGACCTCAGTTGTTCCTGGAACCTACTTTTGGTTTTCTCACTCCTCAACTCAGTTCTAATGGGTCTTTTTAATGTGGCTTTTTTGCGTCCAGTGAGGCGCAAGCAGATGCGTGCCCGTATTAGGGCATGGTCGGAGTCCAAGCAGGTACTCCAGAATGAGCGACAATCTTCTACCGACCCTCTCCAACGATGACTGATGGCAATATGGTCTATTTGAGTCCATCGTTGGTTTGGTGTAGGGGGTCGCCATGTTAGACGATGTCTCTCCTTATGCTTAAAATTTGTGTTTGCTAAAAATAAACGATTGTCTGAGCACAGTTGCAGCAGACGATCACCATTATCTGTTCGCTGTGCCGGAATGCTAAAATATCCACCTAAATGCCTTTCTGTTTGGTTTAAGCTACCTATCTGAGCATTAAAGTCACCTCCTACGAGTACTATGTCTGAGCGTTTAGCTTTCTGAAGAAGTTCGGACAGCTTTCTGTAAAATTCATCTTTCACATCATCTGAGCTGCAGTCAGTGGGAGCGTAGGCAGAAACGACAAAAAGGCAACGACGTGTGTCCCTATCCTTCCGAGTTCTTACGTAGCCGTTTAGCCGAACAGCACATAGACGACTGTTGACGGGGATCCACTCTAGCAGTGCTTGTTCGGCCCTCATGCTTAGTGCTATGCCTACACCTGCCAGTCCACGAGAACTGGCCATCGGGTCACCAGATACACGGAGGGTGTATCTCGTTGGCTCTCCGTTTTGCCGAGGTGAGGTCAAGTGAATGACCACACTGGAATCCTGTATGCGTGTTTCGGAGACACAGCATACATCAATGGAAAGAGACTCTAGGGTTTTAGCCAAGGAAGCCTGCTGACCGATTTGACATAGGGTGCGTACGTTGAAGGCTCCAATGTGTAGTTTGGAGCGAGGTTTCAGTAGACCTGGGACAGTGTTTTGAGCACTAGAATCGTTGGCTATGGTGACACTTGAGGAGGAAGCCGAAAGAGGAAGTTTAGAGTTGAAAGTCGATGTAGGAGGAATAATAGGAATTGAAGAGGAGGTTGATTATGAATACAGTGGTCTTGAGTGCTGTTAGAGGTATGAGGGCGGTTATCACTTCCCGGTTGCCCACACCGTGGAAGGGTTCTTCTGGAGGTACCTGAAAAGGAAATTGGATTAGAGGTGGTCTTAGTGACCTGAGAGCGTGACCGCAGTGCCCAAGGGACAACTGCTTGAGGTCGGTCGCACACGGCCTTTTCGTGGAGGTTTTTGACGTGTTAGCTCCGTTCTTCAAAGGGCCTTACCGCCGGAGACGGAAATCCGTGAGGTAAGGTGAGGTGTGCATTTTTAGGGTCGACCTTTTCTAACCCCACCCCTCCTTGTGGGAAGGCAGCATCGCTGTCATGCTGGTTGTCTGAAGGAAACACCTTACTGCTGTCACACCTCTGTACAGTCAGCAGTACGACTTCGCCTTCGGACCTTGGGTTTGTTGCTTTTAGTCTTACCGCTCTTCAACCGACCTGTCTGACATGGTAGGACCTTGAGGAACGGTTGTTCCAGCCAGTATAGCTCGGTTGCTTCATCACGATAGGCAAGCCCGACCACCACGTCAAGGTACCTACTGAAAGTATCTAAGCATCGAACATTAAAATATTCTAGAGCCACTAATTTGAACAAAGAAAATCAAACAAAAGTAATATTCACCTTCATTATTAAATGCCGATTTGGCTAAAAAGCGATCGACATCTGTATAACGCAGATCTTCTCGCTTCTTTCCACCAACTAAATGCTCATACGTACGCCTATTGATATAATTACCACCAGCATTACTAATTTAGTGGGAAAAAACAAATTTAAACACGTACAAAACATTAGATATTAACATCATATGAGATAACTTATGTAATAATACATGAATCAATAAATTTCAGAGAGGAGTGATTGAACTAAAGCTGATTTGAATGACTACATTAGAAAAGTGACTTTTCCATATGAACTTCACAAAACTAAGTACCTAATGACAACGTTAAATATTATACTAAGTGCACCCAAGGAATTCATAAAACACAGATTCCTGAGATTTAATTAACCCTAATCAGTAAATTTACATCCCTCAAATTGATTAAGTGAACAGTAAAATACACCATGAACTGGTTCTATGTCCTTATTTAATTACCATTAACCTTACGTAAACCTAATCTTAAACAAAAATATTTACTAAATCTAGACTACGTTGCAGTTGTATGTTATATGACTTCACCTCGATAGCATTGATCGAGAATTATAGATGTATACTGAAAAGGTCTCAATGCATACATTTTCACATACCTCAAAAAGATGAATATTGACTTTCTAAAATCACGCCTTCAACTGTTTCACGGACCTCTAGCAAAGGTGACAATATATCCAATATTCCATGAGGCATATTGTGCATTTCATCAAAAACAAATATTGATGTAGGGCACTCGGAAACAGCTGTATGTAGATCTCGATAAAGGCGTTCCTAAAAATGAAAAATTACGGAATATTTGTTAATCAGAATGGTGATACTGAATTCTACACTCATAAAACTATGTGCCTACTGAAACTCAATTACTCCTACCCTTACGACAACGTTCAGGGTTGAATAAGTAAATAAGACCTGTACATAAGATGGCAAACTCAACCGTTCTTGTAGAAAAAACTGTCTACATGTGTACTATATCTCATGTTAGCAAAAAATAATGGGACACAATAAATAGAACACTGAACAATGAAAATATAAATCAATATTTGTGTGGGTGACTTTTGGGGCACAACAAGCAATTTAAGCCTCAAGTGATCGATAAAAGCAGAAAAACTTTTGAGTGTAAACTTGAGGTACTTTCTTGATTAAAGTGAAGATCGCTAGTCATACTATACAACTCGAAAACCATAAACTTCCATGAATTTTTCACCCTCTAAATCTAGTTAAAACAAATTCAACATAAAAAGAACTTGGTGATACATGCATATAACAGTGACGTTATCAAAAGATTGTAGTTATTTGTCCTGGGATTCCACATATAGGTAATAACTAACGGATACGTTTCCTGTCACCGAATAGTCAATGTCCAAGAAATGATGCCAAACGACGCCGAAGACAATGAGGATATATCACAAACTAAACAGGAATCTAGAATGAATACGGACAGAAGTGACCCCGAATGCCCTGGTACGGTCGAGAGTAGGGACAGTCAGCTCTCCCTCTAGAATGCCCTCACATGGCCACGTGAATACCACTACCAGGGAAGTCCTACTCATTACCTTTTCGCGGCATTACTGTTGTTTACGAAATTCAAAGGACGAAAAGCAAATTTCTGGTTCTTTAACTTGGTTGGTGAGTACGGAAGATCCACCTAGAGGAGTCGGAAAACCCTGATTCCTAACCAATGGTGCACATGGGCCCCAGGATCTTAAGGAAACAAATGGCATATAAATCTATTGTTTGTCGCCGGCTATCATGGGACTGTATCTCCTTGGGCTAACCCACTGCCTTGTGGATTAAACTTTTGGGTCAAAGACTCTGGGAGTGGCCCCTAAGAAAATCATATGCTTCGGCTTGGGTACGCGGGAAGTATCATTGTCCTCGCACATATCGAACGATTTGTTTGGCACATATGTATTTGATGCCTTGTACCGACTCGTTCGCGTTCGAATAAACAAATAAATAAATACAACAGGGGAAAAGGGTTTTACGCCAGCGATGTAAAGGTTTTGATTTTTAGAATATATGGGGATACTAAACTCATGAAAATAATAAAGGGTACTAGGTATTTTAAAGTTTTAGCGATGCACTCTCGTTGGTGGGTAATTTCGAAAAGAAAGTCATGATTGGCCAAGTGGAAATTTATTAAGGATATTGAGTTTGAACACCCACGTAAAAATAAGGAATAACTGGCTGATATAGAGTATCTAATATTCATTAAAATATCAAATAGGTCTACGTGATTAATAGCACATGCAAACCAACCTTATACTCCGGAATATGAGAGGATGTTTGAAGTGTATTGTAGCATCATAGAAATGGTAGAAACGACTCCTTGTTCCCAATTTTAAAACATTATTCGCGATAATATTTGAAACAAAATTCTTCCCAACACCAGTGTATCCATGGAATGACAATGCTAGAGGCTTTTGTGGCGAACCACCAGAAATATGATCGACTAAATGATGATACACACGCTCAGCTGCGATATGCTGACCATGCAATTCATCCGAAAGTGATCGTTCCAAGCCTGGAAATGAAATTTTGAGAACCTACTTGTTTTGTTGAAGTGAACGGCTGAAGAACAGCATTCATATAGGAGACAGTTCAGACGATACTTGTATATTACTCCCGTTATCGCTACTGAGAACGGTACAAGCGCGACAAACGGAAAAGCATTGCAACTTGCAAGCAGGAGAAAGAGTACCACGTTGTAACGCATGCATCCAACTATACCGCGTAATGTATCAGAAGTCCAAATTCAGGTTGGCTTGGCCGGACCATGTGGCTGTTCATTCATCGAACTGTGTTTGGTTGGTAAGAGCTAGATCTCAGTTACAACTGAAGGCAGCGATTTATTTTTCTGAATATAAAGAGGGAAATTAGTTTATATTAGGACGGTAGATCATTAAAGAGCACAAAAGTTAAGCTCCTACAAAGTCTACAGAACTGAGGTAAATGCTGAGCCTTCTATAAAAGGCTCCACCTGTATCACGAACTTTCGTGGGGGCTCTATCGTGTCCTGTTTTAAATGCATGTGATGAATCCCAGTATTGTGAAGTGGCCAAAAGAATTGTGTTACTGGAAGCAAACAATCACTTTTCTAATGCCATAGAACGTCATTGAAAATTTAACAACACCAATAATGGTTAGTTTACATCAGAATAATGCTTTTGTCGGAGCTCACCAGTGTTCGTACACTATTAGATTAATTTATTCAGTGGTCCTCCCTCAAGTTTGCTTGTACAACTCTTGTCTCGGATTTCACTTTTTCCAAGTAGTCAGAATGGTTTAACTTCTCGAAATCAAGCGGTAAAGTCACTATGAAGATACTGAGCTAATTATCCCAGCAAACCGTACAATCGACATTAGACACATATATTGTATTTCTCACTTCAACAAGGCTTTTCACTTTCCCATTTAGAACGAAAAAACTGGCACCACCAGGATGCTTGAAAACTTTACTCCATAAAGAAGAAATATAGACCGCCCTCTGGACGGCACCGGAGGAACAATCTGCTACCTAGCTGGTTAAAACCTTGTTCAATAAAAAAACTTACCAAACAAATGGTCACACCAAATAAGAGCTGATGTGAACCACCATTTTCTTAGTCAAGTAGTAAGTCCTAATCCATCATTTATCACTGTTCGGCTTCAGCATGTTTTCCTGTGTTGACTCGAAATAAACCACCGACTCTACTCTCCTTGTCAACCCTTAATCAGCTTTACAAACATGATCCCTTAAAGCCATGAAGACCTATCTTTTCCCCTGTGGTTGACCGTGAATTTCGCCTCAAACATCGTAATACAATTGTCACTGTTCGTACCTCTTAACCTTCAATTCTTATTCACATCCGGAACGATCGAGTCGGAAACTTTTCCTTATCCCAACCAGGAATTTTTAGACCGACAAACATGCTTTGAGCACGCAAATTTTCCAAATCAAGACTTCGTCGGTTCCTCATACTTGCTTAGATTAATTAAGAAGCATGTCTATGGGTCAACAAAGCAAACTCACCAACTCTTCAGCACTCGTTCATTGCACAGACAGCTCCAAGTCTGAAAAACGTCTTCACTGAGCCAAACATCAGGCTAGAGTTCTGGCAGATAAGCGAAGAAATAACAGAGTGCTATCACACAACCTAGACTCAACTACAATCTTTTAAATGATTTCCGAAGGATAAAATTCAGAAATCATAAGCAAAGATAGTCATTCAGTTAGTATGCGCTAACACTCAGAAGAAATGTCATTGCGAAAACCCGGTTTCTTGATGAAATAAGCGATTTGTAAAGCTGGTAAAGTGTTTCCGTATTTAAGTAATATGTGAAAAAAAGGAAATTTTTGATTGACTTCATACACCGTCTGTTTAGAGAGTTTGGTATTGACCTTGGAGGCAATCGATCCAAAGTGGAACTGAAAGGATTAGACTATTGTTTGTAAAATCAAAATGTAATCTACAAATGCAAGATCACATCCTTCCACCCGATGATAAAACGGAAGTCAGCGGGATACATGACACATCTATTAGAATAATGATCTAACCCGTGTTTTTTAACTTACCATTAGTTATCTTCATACTAAGTGTATGTCTAACCCATAATACAAGTGCCTTAACCATCTGATTTGCTTGTAACATGGAACTAGTAGAGACAGTGTATTCCAATTATGGGCTTTGATTAAAGCAGTATTCATACTTACTACAAACGTAAGACAGACTAATATCACAAAAGGAGGGGGAGTGACGTTACTGACCAGCAAACACAATCGTGAGGAGATAACCCCAATTCACCCATGTTTGTAGGGCAGAAGACTTTGTATAATTACGGCTCCTTATGGTCTAGTTGAATGTTACAATCCGCTGGTATTGATACTCATTTATTATGCAAAATATCGTGTTTAGAACGTCGAATTGGTCTCATTTCCTACCCAATAATCCTATTACAGACAAACTAGACAATTCGCTAAAGACAAAGCCTACTCAAGACCCTATAAAATCTAGAAAAAGGGCTCAAACAGCTTCGACAAAAAAGTGAGACAGCCATTTGTATATCAGAATACTGTTTTCTGCACTGTATTTTATAACTACATATAATCGCATACTTTCAGCTTCTTTCCGAACCACGTCCATTTGTCAGTTGTTTATCCAGCCATAACTTGTTTACACTTATTTTCTTTAATCTATTAGAATGCTCCCACTTAATAGGTTCCTTAATAACTGAGAATTAGACTGAGTAGTCATATCATAACTATTCCTTCAAGAACATTGTCTGCTCTACTTCTTGTCCTTTCTTTATCTTGCACGCTTTTTCATCTCCCTTGGGATATGCCACCAAAAATATATGTGGAACGGGTGACTACATTCCGCACCATCATGAAAGCCTTAGATAATCCGGAGGGACATAGGATCGCGGTTTCTGGGAGCCCCCAACTTCACATAGATCTATTTTTGACCATCAGTTGCACGTCGTAACGCAACCTTCATAAACCGGGCCAACTGTGATACTGACAACACGATTCTTGCTAAGGCCATCTACATTCATATCTTATAGAATATCAACCCAGCTGAGTAGTTTACTACAGTGACAATTGCATCTTTAGTAAGAGTTTGATCTTGCCTGTAAACTGGCATGCCTCATGTAACAAACTGTTATTTGAGAATAAATTATTATTACTATTACTAGTGAAGTCTATAGATGCCAGTTGTAACTAACTGTTACGTAATATACCAAACAGTGTGCATTTTTCAAACTGTGAGTTTTACGAAGTCATATATCGTCCAAGCCTTAGTTAAAGCCCCACACCAAGATGCTACATACATAATGCTGTTAAAAACAACTAGGAAACCGGCTAGTCAAGGCAAGCCGAGTTGTACATGTTGGAACCAATCGAAGTATTTTTTAGTAGGCAGAACTAAAGCTAATTACTGCCGGTAGAATAAACCATGATACATGACCCTTGATGCCAAACATACGATAATTGGGAAGATTTAAATCCAAAATTCAATATCTAGGGCGGGTCAGGAATGATGAATGCGGAGAAAGTGATCGATATGACATGACACGGCCATGCAGGTGTGGCCAGTCTATGTAATCCCTTGCTGTTTCTATTAAAAATATTATCCTACCCTCGGCCCTAATGTATTCTTCAGATTTTAGCAGCAATCTCTGACTGTCGCGTGGAACGAGTCAGTATAGGCAGTGGTGTGGCTCCCAAATAAGATCGCATGTTTCATACACATGGTTCCCTTTATTATTTTAAAGAGAGCAAGAACAAAGGTTGGTGTAGAATAATATGAATTCATTTTATTTCGTTAGGTTCTCATCAGCTGCTTACAACCTAAAATATTTGAAATTTAACGTTATTATAGGTATTGACATACTTATACATCAGAGGGCGATGAAAGATGAATATATGTAACATGATGTAGCAAAGATTTCGTTGGCCAATGAGGTCATAAAATTCTGTTTCGAATATGTAGAGTTTGGGGGGGAAGGTCCCAGAACATTGAAATATTGATTAGAGGTCATGGAATTAAAACACATTAGTTTATTATGCGATGTTCTTTGACACAATCAAAGGTCTACAAGTATCCCTTTCACGTTACCACCAACTCTGTATACAAATTTACATGTATCTGCCAAAGCAATTACATTGGTAGAACAGAAAGGAGAGCCTACGTCCGATTCAAAGAACATATTCCGAAGGGTTTGAGATCAAACGGACTAAAAGCATTTATCAGCGCTATCGCAAGACATCTCATTGGCACAGGGCACGAAGTCGATATACTGAAGTCCTTCAAGGTGATCAACAAACAATCAAATTCAAACCTTTTGAAATTTGCTGAAGCAACAGCAATCAAACGTTCAAAACCAGATCTTTGTATACAAAATGAGACAGTAATAAATATTTCTTTGCCCTGGTAACATTACCCCCCTTATTTATTACGTAATTCCAACTCTTTCTGAATCTTATAATTATAACACTGATACCGCGCGCTACGGACTGGACGTTACTTTCAGGCCGAGGTTTTTAGTTTCACTTTTCTAGGATTCTCGCATAGCTGGATGAATTATTTTTTCTTGGAATTATGGAAAATAACTCTATTCTTAACTATTAGCATATAAACTGTGAATTTCATGCCATATGATAAGTTCTGAGTTCAACTTACAGTATTTATGATCATATTCATACAATAATTCATAATCATATGATTACATATATTCATTTTGACTATACGATCAAACTATACTTTGAAACCGTATATAATCATATTTGACGAAGATTTGCATTTCATATCTGTATTCTATTTCTTAAGGAATATATGATTATATCGTATTTGAATGCTTTAACCCACGTACTTTATGTATCTACAGGATCTATTCAAACCTCTACCTAATATCAAGAAATATATATAACCGTGTATGTTAAAGGACTGTATTCACTATTTTATTAACTATCATTTAAATCGTATTTGGATACTATAAATTATTTCATTTCCGAAATTACCTGTCCAATTCGGTGAGTCTGTCATAGTTTGTTTTTTTGACAGTGTTTTTTTCCAAAAAGCTGTTTCATATATTTGTTCAAGAAGCAACATAATAACTTTAGACGGTAATAATCTTCTAAACTACTTATCTCTGCACCTCCCAATTTTTACTAATACGGACTTTCAGTTTATATATGTATCACATACCGTACTTTTTTTGATTGTTTGATACTAA